TTTGCACAAATACACACGGCATCATTCTGATCTGATCTATCACCGGAGAAAACATGGCATCAAGAGCTAAGTAAACTAAGTTAGTCCAGCTTTGCTTGTATAGCTAACTCAGTTTCCCATAGTGCTTGAATATGTATTTTGCTGTTTGCACATTACTATGGAAAACTGCGACAGATATGCGAGCGAAGCTAAGCTATCTAAGCTTAGCTCTTGTTCCGCAACTCGCAAAACATACTTATCAAGATGCCAATGACATTTTTACCGCACCCATTAACTTCAAATTTTCTCGACGCTATTATACCAAACTAACTACCACTTTTTTTGAACTTCAATTTCTTCTTTCAATTTGAATAACAAGTTGCAGATTTGACCATGACACGCTCTATCGTAACGATGACTATCGTCTTGACCCGAGTTCCAGTTGTGGCACCAGCTTGTTGATTTTGGACTTTAAAACAAGGCCGTTCAATCCAACTTCTAGTGCCAGATCTTGGGCAAACCTTTACACCATTTACGCGTCGTAGGTACTTTAATGATATTACACACTCGTAACATTCCGATGATACTTTAATATTTATGAGCTACTTTTGGAACATTACCATCCATACCATCTGCTGTGATTTATAGCAACAGATCTAATTATTTATCATTTATGAAATGGTATTTCGTAAATTTTTGTAATTTGACCTTACTGACGATAATTTAGATAAATAAAATGTTATATGCGTTATTATACTTATCTTGACTTCTAAATTGGGAAACTTTAAGTATCATAGGATACGAAATCCGACAACATGCGAGTGTGGGCTCTAGGAAAAAATCTAAAATTATGATAGAAAAGGAATAGCACCTTTAAAGTAAGGTAGATGTTATCAGATTAAATCATCCCCTTCTCTCTTGCCAACTAACAATCCGAAAAAATGGTATTGGGTTTCGAAAAGATATTTAAATTCCGCTTTGCAAAATTTTTGAACGCAAAAAGCGCTCGCTGTTATCTCTACATGAAAAACAAGAATTGTTCAGAATTCCGTGCGTTTTCTAACGAGAGATTTTCAGGGACTGCAAACGGTATACAGCTCAGTAATTGATCAACACTAATTGAATCCGAGGGTAACACACACGAGCAACGCCACCGAGACTCATTTGTCAGTTGATGAGTCGAGATCTAAGGTACAGCACACACCATTTCAAAGAGTTTTTATTGTCCATCATCCGTGCTGCAATTACCTTAACAACTCGTATGTTATGGCATTAAATTGGTCAGTTATCATGCACCACGCAATAAATGATAATAAAAAAGTAATGCTCGTGCCGAATAGGGTTCAAAGTCATGCTTCGATTTTTATGTAAGCTCCATCAAGTATAAATGGCTACAATTTAGGGCGAATATACATTTAAACTATAGTGTGACGTGGGACGTACGGGTCAAGGGAGTGACGAACGAATTCAGGCAATTTTCGACTAAGGGACATACATTGATGATTGGCAGTTTTACTGGTTTTACTCCTTTAACGACCGCTGTAACTTTAAATCAGAACATCCATCAAAAACTTACGTTCAAATAAAGGAACCCAATACTTACGAAGGCTTGGAGTACTTTTTGGGAAACCTGCATAGTTATTAAGGCCATTGCAGTAACAATAGTGATGTTTTTTCTTGTATTTTTGGCAATAAGATCATGGAATCAAACCTTAAATTTGTCTGGAAACTTACAAGTACACTGGCAGCCTCGATCCTGATAACGGCTCACTTCTCTGATATATAAGAGCATCGCCCTGTTTTCTCTATTAATGTATAATGACGATTTATTATCATCAGTGTCCGTTGCAGGAAAGGATTTGGCCTTCACTCTCCACCCAGGTCAGATGGGTTGAGGTGGTTTGAAGTTCGCCCATTTGTTCCTTAGTCGCCTTCCATGACTTCCACGTGAAGAGCAGTGATGGTCCCATCCTATTCTGCCAAGGCTAATTTTATTGCTATGACAATATGTAAAAAGGAGCGCAGAAGTGAGGTTCGCTCTTTAGAGAGAAACTGCATATTTATGGAATAATATTCGCAATTAATTTGAGTGAACAATAACATTGTTTAATAGTTGGGTTTCCTTGCGTACTTTGTGTATGTACAAGTAAAAGCAATTACTACTGCGAAAATGTAAATGTAACATGGCATATGTTGGGATTTGAATATGCGAACGTAATCAATCATTGAAAGATTCAATCAAAGATTTTCAAAGTAATCAATTGGTTCCGTCTGGTTTTAGACTCATGTTCTGTGCAAAAATTGCCATTCGGCTGCGAATTCTGCTTTCGTAACTTGCAGTAACTAATAGAATTATTATGTATTTGTAGGAATAATATTATTTATTTCTATCTAGCCACCACACAGGACTTGATATGGTACGAGTAATATCTGTTACTACTATAAAGACGTAAATATTTATTAAACTTTATTCCAAAGTTCACGGATTTTTATAGAATTTATTTAAATTCCTATCTAATGTTATACTTTCAGCAAGTTTCATTTGAATTCCTCAATTGATTAAGGATCAAGGTTCAAGCCAAGGATTTACTAGAATAGCGTTCTCCTTTCTAATGGCATATAAAATGATAAATCATAGTAAAAAGATTATGATGCAATCAATAATTATGCAAATCTTACGTCGAGATTATTTCAAATAACTATAAAACGAGCCAAGCAATCATAACTTCATAATAGCTAAACTATGCATGCATATTTTATATTAGTTTCGCTGCACTTCGCACAGTGGATTTAACTGATTTGATTATGTTCGTGTTTAGTAATTCATTCTGAGATTTTTTGTTTTATTGACTCACGGTCTAAGTACAATTTTTGAGCAAATTCCCTTACTCGTACGTACTACAACTGCCTACAGGTAGTACACATTATTGGCAGAAAATGATTTATGGATTTAGCACAAAGATGTCATTTATATTCTGTTTTTATTTCTAATTTTCGTGAGTCAACTAAAGTAGCTTAATAAGTTGCAGCATACCTACTGCAGTTATTGGATATTCAAGGAATTATTATGATGATACTAACTTACGATCTTTTAATACATTTTTATTATACTGTAGTTGATTATTAAGTTTGAATTAACAATAAAATAATTAGCTCTATGGATAACTTTTAGAACACTCATTTTTTAATGTGAAATATACTTACTCCTTAGTTTTAAACCAGCCAAACATATTTCTCTTCATCTGTAAAATGTACCAAAGGGGCTGAAACTATGTCGATCACAACCACAATATTTGCCGAACCATTACTGAGTATAAACATCAAACAGGCGCACCTTTGACCTGGATAGAGTTTCAGTTAAATCTCAAGAATATCCATGGCCGACCCCAAATATCGAAACAAACCCACAAGATTTCATATTTTAAAAAAATAGACCAAGTTTCACTAAATATTTACATTTGTACAGTCAGCGTCAAATAGTTCGTGACACCCAAAGTAGCCAAAAAATTCGCAACACGTCTTTGTTACAATTGGAATAAGGTTGTGTTTCAACTTTTTGGTCACTTTGGGTGTCACGAGCTATTTGACGCTGACTGTATTTATTGTAAACTTACCTACTAAGAGTAAACAAATTTGTCATTCATTTGCTTAAATAATGAAAAAAAATACTAGGAGAACCAACCGGAGGGATTTTTTTATAGTTTGTTTATGCAAAATACCTACATAATAACAAAACGGATTTTTCAAGTTACAGCAAAAAAACTTTAGTCATGACAAATACAACTTTGTTAAAATCGTTTATTGCTGAAATCTGACCTTAAGTTACTTAATAAACAAAAGAATAACCACCAGTTTTAATGTGTTTATTAACGTTTACATTGTCTTTTTAACGAGAACGAGAGATTGAACTAAACAAACTAAGTACTGTTAAAATTAAAAATATCGAAGCGCTGGGAGTTTTCATTCCATAATATTACGAAAACAGACCTGAGAAATATGAGACCAAAAAGTTCGTATAATGACGACGTCATTACGGATTCTACTTTCGAGTCGAAGCTTTTTCATTCTACCCCCTTTGTCGCATTATTCTTTAGAATTCAAATTAAGATACTTGATTACTTTTTGATTTAACCCCAGATTTTGAGGATTATCAAATGATTTAACGATTTGTCACATAGGTATAAACATAAATCATGTTGATAGCCCAATAAAATAAATAAAAATTACAACTGTACTCGTATACCTAAGTTAGGAGTTAATATACGTACATTACTTTTTTTAGGACTTTTCTATACTATGCCGTCCTGAATTATACAGGGTGTTAGGTAAATGGGTATATGAGCCGACACTAGCCCATGTTAACATGGTCATATAAATGGTATGGTGAAGTCAGAAAATTGATATCTTCATTTTAACTATTTTAATTTTCATACAAATCGGATTTTGTAAAATTTATTTTGTATGAAAATTAAAAAAATTAAAATCATGATATCAAATTTCTGACTTCACCATACCATTTATATGCCTACGAGTATGTTAACATGGGCTAGTGTCGGCTCATATACCCATTTACCTAACACCCTGTATAAGCATAGACAAATATTTAGCGTAGATCACAAAGTACAAGCAGTGGCCCATCTATAATAAAGAAAATGGAAAAATCGTAATACACCTTCTAGGTTTTTAACTTCGTAAATATGATGCCATCTATAGACATTGGAGTGAAAGCTTTAGTCTTTAATCGATATCTGGCCCCAGTTTCAATTTGGTGCGGTAATGTAAGTGTAGATGGCGCTGAATAAAACAAATCGTGTTTATCTACCTTAGTGCGTGAATCTTGAACTATTTAAAAAGTTACAAAGACAAATTATTAAATTTCCAAAAAGTGCTCTGTGTATTAAATTATATCAGCCATAATTTCATAAAAAAACACTCTTACTTTTACAAATAGATAATAAAGGTGTCAACAAGCTTTAATTCCTATCATAAATAGAATAATATTATTATGATCCGTGTAGATTTTATCTTGAAATTTGATAATTATACCGCTTCGTTAATTTATTTTTAAATTTCACAAATTTCTCTATCTCCTTACTTTTCAATCCAGTGACCGTTCGGTTGCTGTTTATAATCAATATCGGTTCAGCTTTCCCTGGTTTGTTGAAATCCATTTTCCCGTTGTGTTGATTGACGAAATAAATCATTGGTATATTAATTGAATCTGTTTCATCGGCTCCATCTCCAGGAAATACTACATAAATTACTAGCGGGGTATTTTCTTCCTCGTTATTTATTTTGACGTTTGGTGGAGCAGTTGCCACCAAAATTTTATAGTTATCGTACGGCTGTTTCACAATTGGCAAATTAATAAAGTTCAGACCCTCAGCAGGCTGAATTATGTCCTCATCATTATTTGTATTCTTCGCTGGAAATATAACTTTTGCCACTTGATTCGAGCAACCAGTTCCTAAGTCTGGTGGGTTCGGATAGTACGCCTTCGAAACCACTTCGCGTCTGACTTTTGATTCGGCTGACGTTATTTCTTGTGGAATCTTAGCAAAGAGAGCACCAAATGTTTTCAGTTTTAATTCTTCCTTCACAGCAAGTGGGTTGAATTTCACACTGAATCCGTTATTGATAGGTAGGCTTTGTATAACTACTGTTGAAAGGAGCGCCACTAGAGTACGGATTATCTGAAAACGTACGTGGATTATTGTTAATCTACTTATGTTTTACTTCTAATTTGGAATATTAGATCACTAGAGGATCAGATCACTCACACGCTCCATAATACCAAAGGCAACTCATGCGCAAGACACTTCTATACTGAATGGGGCTACGTAACTGAACGCGTTATGTCACCAATAATGAATTTTGTTTTGGAAAACAAAGACCAATAAGGATGTTTAGCAACACACTATTATCGTACGTCTTTCCGATTTCGATATTTGTGTTGTCCAATAGAATCTACACATCCTTTTCACATTTCTAAAACAGATCAAATAGAATCTTCAGTCTCAAAATAAAGCTTTTGCTTAAGTATATGGGTACAGAGATGCAGACTTAAACAAGGGTAGGGTGTAAATCACTCAGCTAAGCTAATAAAATGTTCGCTACTGCCACTACGTTGCATATTTCCGAGGTAAGTAAGTTAGGGATATTGGCTTGTACATAAATCTTGCAGGCGTTTTAAGGATGAAGGATTAATAGCTACCAGATGTACTTGAGTTGCCTCCAATAAAGCAACGGACGCGTTTTGATTATTTTAGGTGTCCATTGTAAGAATCTTTCTATGTTTCTTTCAATATGCGATGTGTGAAGCAAAACTAGATCATACGTTGGGAGCTCGCGACATGGTGCTACTAGGCAAAGTGAACTATGCAATGTACCCTAAACAGCACAAAACTCATCTACTTATATTTATTTGTAAAAGCGAAAGGTCACTGACAGATTGACTGACTGACTCACTCACTCATCACAAAATCTCAAAAACCACAAGTAGTCTAAAATTTTGCATGGGGGTTCTTTTTAGAACGTAGGTGCTCACTAAGACGGGATTTTGCAAAATTCAACCCCTAAGTGGGGAAAACTGGATCCACTAGTACGAAGTCGTTAGTATTTAATAAGTGTCACAATAATAGTCAATTCATTACTTTTATAATAAAGAACTAAAACAGAAATAATTTTTCAAAATCAAAATCTTCGTTTTCAAAACTTCATTAATAAAAAGATTAAAAATAGTACCTACCTAGAAAATAGCGTGCTACAAATTAATTTTCTGACATCAAAGAACACTAGCTGATAAGTCAAGCTATTGTGGATCAGTATACATTTTCAAGGAGACACGACAAAGTAATTTTAAAATCTTTATTTTATAACTTTACTGGATTTTATTTAGACAGTCAAGAGAATAGCGAGCGAAGGCGTACCTAGATAACAAGTCAATATAATGTTTTAGAGTGTCAACTATTTAATTAATAAGAAGATAAATTAAAAAGCAAAACGTTCCGAGCTAATGAACTGTCGCCATAATGAGATTTTCCATCGGAAGTTTCCCCGCTTACAATTGAGTTTTCGTATGAGACGTTAAAGGAATAAATTAAAAGGAGAAACTTTTGTAATTTGTGGTATGTTTGGAATTCTTTCACAAAAACCATTTCAACCGAGATTGTACGAATTATAAAAAGTTTATGCCATAACTCCCACATTTATTTGTTACTAGCGGCCGCCCGCGACTTCGTACGCGTGGATCCCGTTTTACCCCCTTTATCTATCTTACGCGGTTTAGATTTTTTCATAAAAATGTTTTTTCCCGCTAACTCCCATTCCCGTGGGAATTTTGCAATATCCTGTTGTAACTAAGCTTTAAGTTTACTAAGGTACCTACATGCCTTTCAAGCGTCTAACTTAAGCGGTTTTGATTTTTCATACAAAAGGATTTTCCCGCTAATTCCTGTTCCCGTGGGAATTCCTAAGTATACTATAACCTGCCCAGGAGTATGAAGAATAATTTTACCAAGTTTCGTTAAAATCCGTGGAGTAGTTTTTGTTTCTATAAGGAACATACAGACGTACAGACAGACAGACAGACAAAAATTTCACTGATTGCATTTTTAGCATCAGTATCGATCACTAATCCCCCTGATTATTAGTTATTTTAAAAATATATTTCATGTACAGAATTGACCTCTCTACAGATTTATTATAAGTATAGATTAAGAAAAGTATTTGAAGAGAACATTTAATTTAAAGAAGTTTGACATTGTTTACTGTAATTCTTTCATCTTACAGGAATTTTTTCATGATCGTGAACATTTAGTACATAGTTACATTACTAACTTTAATTAAACCAATAATGGATGGATACATTGAATCTTGTGTACCTTGTGTACAACTTAAAATGTTTTGGGTATCTTTGGGTTCCTAGCCTTTTTCATTACTTACTTGTTAACATTACAAAGTCACAAAAAATCTCTTGGCAATACTCGTCTTACCAATTTGCAAATTCCTTGGAAAAACTCAAATCCGTTGCCTCGTTTATTTAAAGTTCTTACGGATTGTTTTATTAAACCAAGTTTTGTGTGTGATTATAAAACTTTTTCAGGTGAATAAGTTTGGTTGAAATAGTTTTATTTTCTGATAACAAATGGGTTCACGTAGTTGGCCATTACGGCTGGATTTGCACCTATTTTTATTCTTCTGTTACACAGACCTTTTTAACGACAATATTATCCAGGATTAAAAATAAATATGAAGTCTCATTTCACGCAAAATGTATGTTAACTATTAAGAAAAGTTTATTTCTAGAATAAACCTATATCTTTCCTAGTCTTACTTATACTCGTTTAAGTAGGTACTGTATTTATGTTCTTGACTCATCAAAGAAACAATATTTTTATACAAGTTGGTGTAATCCCTTCTCAGACTCTACATTTATTTCAAAGACTGAATGCTATTCAAGGCATCCCCAAAGCTTAGAGAAAGTCTTTCAAGAACGCTTTCCTCTAGATATAGCTACGAAAGTACAGTGAACATCGCATCAAATTTAAATGTTGGTTGCAAAGTCGTACCTATTACGTCGGCATAAGATACCACAGTGTTTTACTTTGACATGCTGTCGTCTGTACCTGCCCTTACTGCCATCTCAAAAATTCATTCTGTATTCTTGTGTTGGTACGAGTAGGTAGGTAGATGCGTTTACCTCAACCATACCACTCAGAGTAAAACCTGAAATATTTTGTAACTCATTGTGTTACACAATACACTTTGTTGTCTTTAAATTATAAAGAAAGTACCTCTTGGTCTAAAACTATTTAATTTAGTTTGCATGCTTTGTCCTGTTATGTCAAGATTTTGCGTTAAGAGGAGGGGGACTAGGGGTATGCTTCTTTGGTTAAAACAATGCTAAAGAAGTGTTTTAAGTTTCAACCAAACCAACGCGTGCAGCCGACGTGCACGATGGCGATGGCGATGGCGATCAGATGTATGAATTTGTAGCGATGAGTTCACATCAACGCGTCCTGTCATTTGCCTATGCACGCGCATTGATCGCCATCGCCGACGCGATCTGCACGCGTTGGTGTGGTTGAAGCATTAGTTTGGCGGAAGCTGTTTCAAACAGCACCTAATATATTAAGCTAGATGGCAAAATTTCAATTATTTGTCCGTCAGACAGATAATTAGAAAATATTGGACTCATATTTTTTATTTTCTTTCATAATTAAATAATAACAGTGCTACATCGAGTTGAAATGGCGTGATACGTCACGCTTGAGTAGAATTTTTACTCAAAAGTGTCGTCACACGACATTTCAACTCAATATAATACTGTAATTATTCGATTATGGAAAAAAATAAAAAATATGGGTCTAATATTTTCTAATTATATTATCTGTCTGACGGACTAAATAGAATTTCGATTTCATTACCCAGTCATCATCCTTATTATGAACGAGAGACATTCCGTAGCGTTTTATATTTATAGCAACACATTTCGATACCGTGTAAATTATCATGTGAAGGCAGCAAAGGGTTCGCAGATCCCTACACTAGACATTCAACAAATATCAGTGACATTCCCATCCGAATCGGGTGAAATACGCACAGGATTTAGGATATTCGTCGCACACGCCGGCGAAGACGTGTAGGGTTGCCAGGTGTCCGGCTTTAACCGGACATGTTTGTCTTTTTACGGACGTGTCCGGACAAATATTCTCTCGCCCGGCCTGTCCGGCTCTTGTTAGGCTTTTTATGTGACTGCACCGTAAGACCTGCTAATTTTTTAATAACGCAGGCAGTGGCTAACAATATTAATTAATTAATTAATCTTTATTAACTTCTTCACGAGTAAGTAAATATACCTTATGTTTCATGTAGGCAGTACCATAAGAAAATTAAGCAATTGCTTAGGGCATCACGTTTTGAGGGGCACCAAAAAGAGCACAAAAAAGAGCACCGAGTCCGGCTTTTGTGTTTATGGGCCTGGCAACCCTAGCCGCGGCTGTTTATTTTTATCACGTAATATAGTTTTCTTGAAATCCACTCCGATTATAGAGAGGGACTATTTTATTGCATATCCATCCCAAAGAACTTTTACTGGTACATATTTCTTTCGAGTTTCGTGCGCGTAACGAGAATTTCGATTGTTTTCCGGACATTTAAATGAGATTGTGTTGGGATGTATTTGTACACGATTTACATTTTTCGATTCTAAGGGATCTGAGACCATATCGTGATGCCATTTACCCTGTCTTTAGGTTTCGGGAAGATCATTAAAGTTATTGCTTTAGTTTATTGTTTTAGCTGCCAATCTCATCATGTAAAGCATATGCTCATTGTTTGGATTTAGTTATCTTCATATAGACGATCTAAATATAATAATATCCTCAAGTGGATAAGGAGACTCGAAATGGTTTTAAAAACGGCATCATGCTTTGGTCTTATCTACTCAAATGCCCTCAAAGGCCTGCAGAATCGATCAGTTTTAAGTTGTAGCTTCAAAATTACCAAACAATTAATTCAAATTAATTTATTTTGCAAGAAGGCTTTGAAAAAGCTCTTTGACACATTATACATAGTATTATTACCGCTTCGAAACAATAAAAGGGCCAATACTGAAGAAGAAAACATGAAGTAGAAATGCGAATTTGTACAATTTATACACATTTAATGTAACATTGTCTACATGCACAATTTAACAGCAGACTCTCTCATCTCTATTTAATAGCATTAAACATTCCTGTCTTAAATTATACAATGTCCAGAATCCAGCTCCGTGCAAGTCCCAATG